AACTTTTTGACACATGCTTTGTCTGTACCCTACAACAGTGCGTTCAGATTGAGAATTTTAGTGAGATGAAGTCTAAAATGTCTGCCTAAAGGGAGGGTGCCTCATGGTAAAGGTCACATGATTATTGAGTCATAGTCATACAGCATAGAAACAGACAACTTTGGTCCAACGCGTCCATGCTTACCAGGTTTCCTGAACTGAGTAGTCCCTTTTGCCTGCATTTGGCCCATACACCTCGAAACCTTTCTTATCCATGTACTTGTACAAATGTCTCTTAAATGTTGTAATTGCTCTTGCCTCTACAACTACCTCTGGCAGCTCATTTCATACACACATCACCCTCTGTACGAAAAAGATGCCCATCAGGTCCCTTCCAAATCGTTCCCCTCCCACCTTAAACATTTGCCCTCTAGATTTGGACTCCTCAATCTTGGAGCTCCCCTCTATAAAGGTCACACTTCAGCCTCATATGTTCAAAGAACAAAGAAAATTACAGCACAGGAACAGGCCCTTCGGCCCTCCAAGCCTGCGCCTATCCAGATCCTCTATCTAAACCTGTCACCTATTTTCCAAGGATCTGTATCCCTCTGCTCCCTGCCCATTCATGTATCTGTCTAGATACATCTTAAATGACGCTATCGTGCATGCCTCTACCACCTCCGCTGGCAACGCGTTCCAGGCACCCACCACCCTCTGCATAAAGAACTTTCCATGCATATCTCCCTTAAACTTGTACCCTCTCACCTTGAAATCGTGATCCCTAGTAATGGAGTCCCCCACTCTGGGAAAAAGCTTCTTGCTATCCACCCTGTCTATACCTCTCATGATTTTGTAGACCTCAATCAGGTCCCCCCTCAACCTCCGTCTTTCTAATGTAAACAATCCTAATCTACTCAACCTCTCTTCTAAGCTAGTGCCCTCCATACCAAGGCAACATCCTGGTGAACCTCCTCTGCACCCTCTCCAAAGCATCCACATCCTTTTGGTAATGTGGTGACCAGAACTGTACGCAGTATTCCAAATGTGGTTGAACCAAAGTCCTATACAACTGTAACATGACCTGCCAACTCTTGTACTCAATACCCCATCTGATGAATGAAAGCATGCCGTATGCCTTCTTGACCATTCTATCGACCTGCGTTGCCACCTTCAGGTTACAATGGACCTGAACACCCAGATCTCTGTGCATCAATTTTCCCCAGGGCTTTTCCATTTACCGTATAGTTCACTCTTGAATTGGATCTTCCAAAATGCATCACCTCGCATTTGCCTGGATTGAACTCCATCTGCCATTTCTCCGCCCAACTCTCCAATCTATCTATATTCTGCTGCATTCTCTGACAGTCCCCTTCACTATCTGCTACTCCACCAATCTTAGTGTCATCTGCAAACTTGCTAATCAGACCATTTATACCTTCCTCCAGATCATTTATGTATATCACAAACAACAGTGGTCCCAACACGGATCCCTGTGGAACACCACTGGTCACAGTTCTCCATTTTGAGAAACTCCCTTCCACTACAACTTTCTGTCTCCTGTTGCCCAGCCAGTTCTCTATCCATCTAGCTTGTATATCCTGAACCCCATGCGACTTCACTTTCTCCATCAGCCTATCATGGGGAACCTTATCAAACGCCTTACTGAAGTCCATGTATATGACATCTACAGGCCTTCCCTCATCTATCAACTTTGTCACTTCCTCAAAGAATTCTTTGAGACCTGACCTACCCTGCATAAGACATGACCTTCCCTGCACAAAACTATGCTGCCTATCATTAATAAGCCCATTTTCTTCCAAATGTAAATAGATCATATCCCTCAGTATCTTCTCCAGCAGCTTCCCCACCACTGACGTCAGGCTCACCGGTCTATAATTACCTGGATTATCCTTGCTACCCTTCTTAAACAAGGGGACAACATTAGCAATTCTCCAGTCCTCCGGGACCTTACCCATGCTCAAGGATGCTGCAAAGATATCTGTTAAGGCCCCAGCTATTCCCTCTCTCGCTTCCCTCAGTAACCTGGGATAGATCCCATCCGGACCTGGGCATTTGTCCACCCTAATGCCTTTTAGAATACCCAACACTTCCCCCCTCCTTATGCCGACTTGACCTAGAGTAATCAAACATCTATCCCTAACCTCAATATCCGTTATGTCCCTCTCCTCGGTGAATACCGACGTAAAGTACTCATTAAGAATTTCACTCATTTTCTCTGACTCCTCGCATAACTTCCCTCCTTTGTCCTTGAGTGGGCCAACCCTTTCTCTAGTTACCCTCTTGCTCCTTATGTACGAATAAAAGGCTTGGGATTTTCCTTAACACTGTTTGCTAAAGATATTTCATGACCCCTTTTAGCCCTCTTAATTCCTCATTTCAGATTGGTCCTACTTTCCCGATATTCTTCCAAAGCTTCGTCTGTTTTCAGTCACCTAGACCTTATGTGTGCTTCCTTTTTCCTCTTTGCTAGTCTCACAATTTCACCTGTCATCCATGGTTCCCTAATCTTGCCCTTTCTATCCCTCATTTTCACAGGGACATGTCTGTCCTGCACTCTAATCAACCTCTCTTTAAAAGCCTCCCATATATCAAGTGTGGATTTATCCTCAAACAGCTGCTCCCAATCCACATTCCCCAGCTCCTGTCGAATCTTGCTATGGTTGGCCTTCCCCCAATTTAGCACTCTTCCTTTAGGACCACTCTTGTCTTTGTCCATGAGTATTCTAAAACTTATGGAATTGTGATCACTATTCCCAAAGTAATCCCCTACTGAAACCTCAACCACCTGGCCGGGCTCATTCCCCAACACCAGGTCCAGTATGGCCCCTTCCCAAGTTGGACTATTTACATACTGCTCTAGAAAACCCTCCTGGATGCTCCTTACAAATTCTGCTCCATCTAAACCCCTAACACTTCGTGAATCCCAGTCAATGTTGGGAAAATTAAAATCTCCCATCACTACCACCCTGTTGCTCCTACATCCTGGAGAAAAATGTACCGGCCTATCCAGCCTCTCCTTAAAACTCAAACCTTCCAATTTTGGTAACATCCTTGTAAATCTGTAACATGGCGTCCCAACTCCTTTAATCAATGCTCTGACTGATGAAGGCAAGCGTGTCAAATGCCTTCTTCACCATCCTGTCTACCTGTGATGCCACTTTCAAGGAACTCTGTACCTGCACCCCTAGATCTCTCCATTCAACAACACTCCCCAGGGGCCTAACGTTAACTGTAGCAGTCCTGTCCTGATTTATCATACCAAATTGCAACACCTGGGACTTATCTAAATTAAATCTTATCTGCCATTCCTTGGCCCGCTGGATCAAGATCCCATTGTTCTCTTAGATAACCTTCTTCCATCGTCCACAATACCACCAATGTTTGTGTCATCCACAAACTTACTAACTACGCCTCCCTATATTTTCATCCAAATCTTTTGTGTAAATGATGAACAACAGCGGACTCAGCACTGCTCCTTGCAGCATACTGCTAGTCACGGTCTGAACAACAACCCTCTACCACTACCGTGTGTCTCCTACTGTCAAGTCAATTTTGTACCGATTTGACCAGCTCGCCCTGGATCCCATGTGGTCTAACCTTACTAACCAGTCTACCATGCAGAATCTTGTTGAAGGCCTTGCTAAAGATTATGGCTGACTCAGACATTTTTACAAGATTTCATGACAATCTAAATAAGGTAAGGAGCTATGCTGCCCCTCTTGAACACAAAATTTGTAGAATACCAAAAGAAATGTAACAAATTAGATGGAATTTGGCTGAAGGAGAGGAAGAAGCTAAAGATGGTAAGGTCAATATGCAACGTGCAGTATTCTGCTTTCCTGCTTACAGATAGAACAGAGCACTTTGACAAAGTAGTTATATAATCTCTTAGATAGCTTGAAAGTTGAAGGCACTGTTTTGTGATCCGCAGTTCATAAATACCACTTACTCTTACCAGGGGTTTGCTTTTCCCCAGACATATTCCCATGTATGGTGAAGATACTTTATAATGAACCTGTTCAGTTATGTTATGACACAGGTCTGGAGTAGGTTGCACATGAATCTGGGACAGAAACGGAAGTTTCTGGAAAAGCTCAGCAGGGCTGGCAGCATCTGTGAAGAGAAAATCAGAATTAACGTTTCAGGTTCGGCGACACTTCCTCAGAACTAATGACGGCTGGGAAAATGTTGGTTTATATGCAGAAAATAAGGGGAGGGATGGGGTAGGGAGTAAACAATAGGATAAAGGATAGAGTCCAAAGAGAGAGAAGAGCAGTTGGATAGACAAAGCAGTTGATAACGATCTGGATAGGAGCGTGAGTAGTTGTCAATGCGGACTGTTAGTGACTAACAATTGGTAGTGTGTAATGGCAGGCTATGTGATAACGAAGCCTGGTGTGCGGGGCAGGGGTCGAGGACATGAGAGAGTTTAGGCCCTAAAATTATTGAACTCAATATTGGAGGGCTGCAGGGCCCCCAAGCGGAAAATGAGGTGTTGTTCCTCCAGCTTGCATTGGGCTTCGCTGGAACACTGTAGCAAGCCAGAAACTGAGATGTTGGCCAGGGAACAGGGTGGTGTGTTAAAATGGCAGGCAACTGGAAGCTCAGGCTCTTTTTTGCAAGCAGAACATAGATGTTCTGCGAAGCAGTCACCCGGTCTACACTTTGTTTCCCCAATGTAGAGGAGACCATATTGTGAGCAGCAAATGCAGTAGACTAGATTCTGGGAAGTGCAGGTTAAGTGTTGCTTCACCTGGAAGGTCTGTTTGGGCCCTTGGATACTGGGGAGGGAGGAGGTAAATGGGTAGGTGTTGCACCTTCGCCGGTTACAGAGGAAGGTACTGTGGGGCTGTTGGGACAGTGGGGGAGGGGGATCAGGGTGTTGGGAGTGAAGAAAGAGTGTGCCAAGGGTCCCAGAGGGAATGGTCCCTGCGGAAGGTGGACAAGGGAGGGGAGGGGAATATGTGTCTGGTGGTGGCATCTCACTGGAGGTGGCAGAAATGACGTCTGATGATCTTCTGGATGCAGATGCTGATGGAATGATAGGTAATGAATAGGGGAACCACTGTTGTGGGAGGGAAGAGAGGGGTTGAGGGCAGAAGTGCAGGAGATGGGTCAGACCTGGTTGAGGGCCCTGTCGACAACGGAGCTGGGGAATCCTCGGTTGAGGAAGAAGGTAGGCTCCCTTGTCGAATTTGTCCTCATCTGAACATATGCAATGGAGTCAGAGGAACTGAGAGAATGGGATGGAGTCTTTACAGGAAGTAGGGTGTGAGGATGTATTGTCCAGGTAGCCATGGGAGTCAGTGGGTTTATGGTAGATATTAGTAGCCAGTCTATCCCCAAAAATGGAAACAAAGATGTCGAGGAAGGGAAGGGAGGAGTCAGAGTTAGACCAGGTGGAAGTGAGAGCAGGGTGGAAATTGGAAACAAAATCGACTAACAGTTCCAATTCCGGATGAGAGAGGGTAGCAGCACAGATGATATCATCGATATATCAGGAAAAGAGTTATGGGTGGGGGCTGGAATAATACTGGAACAAGGAATGTTCCACGTACCACACAAAGAGACAGGCATAACTAGGGCCCATGCGGGTATCTGTGACCACCCCTGTGAAATGAAGAAAATGAGAGGAGTTAAAAAGAAGTTGGGCTCCAGTAACACGTGTCCCTTCATGGGGTATGTGAAATATTCCTTGTTCCAGTCCTATTCCGGCCAGATCATTCTCAACTCCTTTGTCTATCCGACTGCTGTTCTCTCTTTTCAGGGTCTATCCTTTATCCTATCGTTTACTCCCTACCGCACCCCCTCTCCCTATCTTCTGCATATAAACCGACGTTTTCCCAGCCCCCATCAGTTCGAAGGAAGGGTCACTGCACCCAAAACCTTAACTCTGATTTTTTTCTTCACAGATGCTGAGCTTTTCCAGAAACTTCAGTTTTTGGTCCTGATTTACAGCATCTGCAGTATTTTTTTCAGTTTTCATGAATCTGGGACACCTGACTCAAAGGTAAAGCTACTACCACTGTGCCACAACAGCACACCATGGTGTGGTGGCACATTGGACATAAGACTAAGCATTCTTAACTGTTTGTGGTGGGCATGTCCCCATTGTTTAAAAATCTTCATAATTTGACATGAGGTGAATGTGAGGGATCAAAATGTCAAATGAATTCACCCTGAGGAGCTCTTCTTAAGTTGGATCAAAGTAGAAGAAACCCTACTCTAGAACGGGCTGTGTTCCTGCATACTATCAAAAATGTTGTGCTTAAACTCGGTCAAATCATTGATAGGTGGTGATATCCACTAGCTTTGATCCTGTAAATATCACCGTTGCTTTAATGTTTGAATAAGGTTAGGTTTTGAAATTACTCTTGATATGAATCCTCTAATACATGAGCCTTAAGAAGAGTTTTGCAGAGGTTCATTACCATGCACAGTATGACTGGGCTTGATTTAAAATGTGCACTATTACTGATATGTCAGGACTTGGTATATTTATAATTTATTTCCAATAAGTGATATGCATTAAGAATGGCATGATAACAGTTAGGCGTGTGCGTAATAACTTAAAAACTTATTGAAAAAGACATTTTAAGTACACAATTTATGATTTAAGCTGATGGTATTTTGAAGTAATTATTCAAAGATATTCTATGCGGCCATTGTCAATGTCAGACATGTAATGGTTAGCACAGGACCACCTGCTCTACTGGCATACTTTCCATGAAAATTACAAAGAACTCAGAAGATATGCTTGACATACTTAACAATGGAGAGCTCCACTTTCTGTTGCATCTTTAATGTGTAAAGAAAAATAGTGCTGCAATACTAGTGCAGAATGATCACAAAATTAAAATCCTTTGTCCGTGCCACACTGTAAAGTTAGCTCATGAAAAGGAAAGGGAAAGGCAACGCTTATTGCTTGTGTAATGATGGCTTCACATTTAATAATTTTCATGGCCTTGAGTTTGAAGGATTGTGAATGCCTAGAATTTTCTTTTTTAAAGAGATCAATGAAAACACAGTTTAACATTTTTTTAAACAGATCACTTCTGGGAAATGATACGGTTTAAGATAATTACTGATTTTGATTGTTTAAACTCAATTCAGGGAAAGGGAAACTTTTTTGACAACTGGATATTGTGGCTGCTCTGTTTGAACAGTGCTTTTTCAACTTATAGATAGAATCATAGAATCCCTACAGTGCAGAAGCAGGCCATTTGGCCCATCCAGTCTGCAAAGACCCTCTGAACAACATTGCACCCAGATGCAACCCCCTACCCTATCCCTTTAACCCTGCATTTCCTTTGTCTAATCCACCTAACTCACACATCCATGGACACTATGGGTGATTTAGCATGGCCAATCACTTAACATGCACATCTTTGCACTGTAGGAGGAAACCAGAGCACCCGGCAGAAAGTCACACAGACACATGGGAGAATGTTCAAACTCCACGCAAACAGTTACCTGAGGCTGGAATCAAACCCAGGTCTCTAGCCCTGTGAGGAGCAGTGCTAACCACTGAGCAGCTGTGCCCCCAGGGAGAAGCTTACTGAAAGAAAGGAGGAACTCAACTTGTGTCTCCTCTTTCTGAAGCACGTATGTGTTGAATCCAGTTTAAAACCTGATTGACCTATTGATAAGCAAATGCAAGACTTCTCAAAACAGTGCTTCCTGAGCAAGTTGTGTTTGCAAACACAGAGACATTTGCCTATGTTCCTGATACCCACCTGCATGGGCCAGAGCAGCAGCCAGATGGACAGCTATCTCAACATTATGCACCATTTCTGTGGCCATTCAGGAATAATACAAATAGGCCAAAAGATTTTACTGTCAACGTGAATCTCTGCAGACCTAAATCAATTTTTCTTCCCTTCCTGTGTGATAACTCCCACAAGATCTATTAGGAATCACTAACTAATTTCTCTGTGAAGCTCATTGAGTATGAACTCCCAGTGGCCTGCCCAGATAGAGCTTATCACTTGAGTCCTTGCTCCAGAAGCATGTAATAACATCTCTGAATAGGTTGATTCTGAAAATTAAAAGAAAGCAAACCCAAATCCGTCTGCTCTTCCTACCTCTCCCTCACTTTTGATGGTTTGCAGTGGCTGTAATGGGCGTTGCATGTAAACTTCTAATTGGCTCGATGTATGATTTAATGGTGGATTTTGAGTGTTAAAAAAAAAGAGTCGTGGTGATTTGATGAAAAAGAAGTAAGGCAGACCCAGGCTTTGGGATTCGGACTGGGATTGGCCTATGTATGCACACTATTTTTGTGTTTAGCAATACATGATGTTCCTTTTCAGTCAGGTTTCCTGAGTTATTATGTAACAAACAATAAAGCAGACCCAAAGGTCCCTCGTGGTGCTGTGGTAGTCCCCCTATCTCTATTCAAGGAGGCCTGGGTCCAAACTCACCTGTTCTAGATGTGTTCTGACATCCATGAGCAGTATGAGAAAAGACTAAAAAAACACTAAAAATAAAGCAGAGCCAAGTGGTTGTTAATAATTACAAACTAAAAAAAAGTAGACCCAAGGCAAAAAAGAAATGTCACGGTGATTCGATGATAAGAAAGCTGTTCAGTTGTTGCAAGGGCACTTCTGGATATAAGGATGAAAACGTAAATATAACAGATGTAAAGGGTTGGTCGTGATCCTACCTCTGACCCAAGAGACTTGGGCTCATGCCCTAACTGCTTCAATGACATCTCTGAACCAGTTGATTAGAAAATGTTAAAAAAAACAAGGATTTTTGGCACAAAGGAAGCCAACTGAAAGCCTGTTAGCAGGCTGAAACTGTGAACAGGAAGTCAAGAGCTGGGGAATGGGACTTATTGAATGTCTCCAAAAAAAAAAAGCAGACCCAGTTTTTAGTTATTTGAAAACAAAATCTTTTGTTGTGTTTTTGGTTTTACTTCAGTCCCGTGCTTCTGATCTTTGGGCATCTCATGCGGAGGATTATGGGCAGATCAAACGACCTCCTCATGGGTCTGTTCCTGGGCCTGACCAGGCTTGCTTTCAAGAGGTCAAGGCAGTGGGTTGTGGAGGAGGTCATCTCTGCTGACTGACTGCCCCTCTACCACGTGCCTGGGTATGCTGCGAGAGGGAGCACACAGTGTCCATCAATGTGTTTGATGCCTTTAGTGAGATATGGGCACCTTGGGGGATACAGTGCTTTATTTTCCCACCACTTTCATTGTGATTTAGGCCCTTCCTGCTCTCCCTACCTTTCCCCCCTTTTTGATGGTTTGCATTGCCCATAAGGGGCTTTGCATGTAAGTAGCCAATTGGCTGAATGGGTGTTTTACTGGTGGTGGCTAATAGTTAAAAACAAAAAAAAGTTACGTCAATTTGGTGGTGAGAAACAACATTCAGTTGTGTATAAGAGCCCTTCTGAATAGAAATAAAAAATCAGACGCAGGGATGGTTCTCCAGAGCTGTCTATCTTGGCCTGGGACTGGCCTATGTATGCCATGAGTAGTGGCTCTATTTTGGTCTTTGACAATAAATATGTCTTTACCGAGTGTGAGGGATTTCAAGACTACGGGTCATATTTTTAAGCTGAGAGGAGAGAAATTTTAAAAAGACATGAGGGAAAACTTTTCTATGCAGAGAGTGGATCGTATGTGGAATGGAATTCCAGAGGAAGTGGTGGATACGAGTACATTTAAACATTGTAAAAGCCATTTACGTACGTATGTGAATAGGAAAGGTTTGGAGGGATATGGCCCAGGAGGAGGCAGGTAGGACAAGTTTAGTTTGGGATTATGTTCAGCATGAACTGTTTGGATTGAGGGGTCTGTTTCTATGCTGTATGACTCCATGACTCTATTTATGACTCCATGACTGTATGTTCCTTTTCAGGTGGGCTTCCTGAGCTATTGCATTCTGGTTTTGAATGTCTGTGTGTTGTGTTTGCCATTACTTAGAGTGCTAAATGCTTAAATTTCATTACATTGTCTGATATCCACTGCTGTATCTTTATGGAATATGGTTTGATTCATAATCAATCAATCAATCAATCAATAATTTTGTGTTTCT